CCCCCCCCCCCCCCCCCCCAATCGTGCCATTTCCTACGACCAATGAAAAAGACTTGTGGGAGGAGGCCCTGCTCAAGGAGTACAACATGATCGACGTCTTCGACGACTACACCATGAGTCTCATCCAGTTCGGGTACGTGGCGCTCTTCTCGGCCGCGTTCCCCCTGGCCCCTCTGCTGGCCATGGTCAACAACCTCGTGCAGACCAGGGTGGACGCCCACAAGATTTGCAAGACTCGGTGAGCGTTTTTTTTTGTTTTTTTTTATTTTTTGCAGGCGTCCCCCTGTTGGTTGCTCCGTGGTTCACACGGCCATGCAAGTCGTGAGCGTCAGACAGAGAGCAAGATGTAACATCTGCAAGGAAGATTCGGTGCGGACGCTCGCGTTGATCTTTTTTTTTTTTTTTGCGACCAAAGGTCTCCTGCCCCTGAGGCCGGTCCCTACCCCACCCTTCTTCCTGCTGTGCGTGTCTACGATAATTGAAAAGCGAGAGGTGTTATGTATTCCTTTTCGTTTTTTTGTCTTCACTTCAAATAAGCGCTCACAGCATTTGTACCGTTTGCTCCAACCCTCGCCTACAGAAAATTTGCCCGCCGACAAAATCATTAAGTTCCCGCGGCGGGTTCCTTCGCTGTTGTTGCCGTCTTTGTCAGGCGTCGACCGATCGCACTAAAGAGCGGCGGCATCGGCGTGTGGGACAACGTCCTCGAGGTGATGTCGGTCATCGCGGTGATCACCAACTGTGCTCTTATCGGAGTTACGTCGGAGAGGTGGTGGCCGGCCGACGTGTCTCGCGCCACACGGATCCTGGTGGTGGTTGTCGCGGAGCACATCATCCTCTTCCTTAAGGTTTGATATTGATACTGTTGTTGTCGTTGTTGTCGTTGTTGTTGTTGTTGTTGTTGTTGTTGTTGTTGTTGTTGTTGTTGTTGTTGTTGTTGTTGTTGTTGTTGTTGTTGTTGTTGTTGTTGTTGTTGTTGTTGTTGTTCGTCTTCGTGTTCATATCAAAAACCGTTCCGATCTCCGCTCAGCACCTCCTAACACCCGTCCACCTCACGCGGACGACACCTTTCAACAGTACTGGCTGGAGTCGTCCGTGCCGAGGGTGCCCCTCAAGGTGCAGCGGGCCCTGCACCGCGAGCGCGCGGAGCGCGACCAGAGGGGCGGCCTGGTTTTCGCCGGCAGCTCCGGTGTCGGGGGCGACTACGCCAAGTTCGAGGCCAACTTCAGCCGCGCGCTGGCGACCGGAGACACAGCGGACGCCGTCTGCGCTAAGAGGACCGCCGGCGGGGCGTTCTACAGTACCAACAGGACAACCAACAACCTGGGAGCAGGAGGAGGAGGAGGAGGGCTGATGGGTACAGATGCCACGAGGTCGGTGGTAGTGAGCGACGACCTTACGGCCACGACTCCGCCCCCGGGAGGAGGCGGGGGTCGAGCGCGCAAGGGCTTCTCCGTCAACCTGGCGGCCTCCCCGTGTCCGGCGACGGCGACCGGGGTTGACGGGCGCGGGGGGGGCACGTCCGGGGTGACGGCGACCCAGAGAACCACGTCGAAGTCGATGATGATGACCCCGCCGCCGCAGCGGCATCAAGACGGTGGTGGCGGCGGCAGTGGCGGCAAGTTTTCTTCTGCGTCTTCGGTACCCCTGCCGCCGCCGAGCGCGGCCACCGTGGGAGGGGGAGCCTCCTGCTACAACTATGGCGGCGGCGGCGGCGGCGGCGGCGGCGATGATTCATAGGTGGCCCCCTCGTCGTCGTCTTCTCCTCCGCCGCCGGTATCACCGAGACGGTTCGAATGGCACGGTGAAGAGCAAACGGCAGTTTAGCTACATTATTAGCGCGTTGGAGAGGGAGTGTTGCTTTGCTTTGTTGAGGCTGTCGTTCCGCGAAGGGGGAGAGGGGATTGAATTTCTTGATCCTCCTGGTGTCGTTTTCATTAGAGCGCAGCTCGCGAGTGTTACCGAGAGCAAGAGACGTCTATCGGGAGCAGGGACAGCAGCAGCGACGGTGGCGGCGGTTTCTCGCAGCAGGTATTCCCCCTCTGTCTTCATTCCTGTTCGAAAGGATATTTTTTGTCAGCCGTACTTGTTGCTGGGTCCGAGTGGCACTAAACGCCTCATGGCGTCGTCGTCGTTGTTATTGTTGTTGTTATTGATGTACACTCGGGAATGGGAAAATTTTGGGGTGTCAAGAAGTTGCCGTTCATTGGAGATGTGGTGTGATATTTTTTTGGCAGAAAAGAGTACGGACGGAGGCAGGGTTGTGGACAGGCTAACCGGGGAAGAAGAGCTAGGAGAGGGGCTGGTGGGATTTTTCACGCTGGCAACAGGCTGGGGGGCACCGCCTGATGCTATTATTGCTGCTGGTACATACACACACGCATATTGCTGAGCCTGCTGCACACTTTGCGTGCGAGCTTGAGCAGGCACCCACCCTTCTTGGACCGGCCGACCCTGTTGTGCTTGTTGTACAGCAGTAGTTACATAATTCGATGGTGTTGTTGCGTTGTTTTCTGCTCCTTGCGTGGGATGACTCCCAAACAGTTGTGGTGTCACGTGTCGCCCACCACAGATCTGACTGTTTTTAGTGTTAGTGTTTAAGTGTTATTTGGTGGTCGTTATTGTCCTTAATATCTCGTGTCCGTCGTCCCTAAGGTATGGCCGCCGTTGACATTTATTGGTCGTTGTTTGAAAATTGTGACTTGTTCATTTACCCAGATCCTTCTCGGCTTGAAACAGATCATTGTTGAAATTTTCCGTAATTGGACCCTTTTCTTCGAAGCACAACAGCATGTAGTCGTACGGAAAGCAGCAGCCGTCCACGGTGAGAGACGGGGGGAGGAGTGTTTTATAGTTTTTTGTTCATTTTTATCGCCTGTCTCTATGCTTGCTTGCTGTTTTAATTCTCGGCATGATGCAGCAGAGAAAACGAGTGGTAATGTGGGAGGCTGTGGTCACTTCTGGAGCCGTTGTGTTTTTTATTCGCCGCACCTTCCTGCGGTTGGGTGTCGTCGTCGGCGGCGCCATCTGCGTCAATCATCATGTGGGAATTACGGTTCCTTATTGTCTCTGTCTCTCGTACATCCAGGTACATCCGATGTGTAGGCAAAGTAGGTATCGCCGGTGTCGTCTCCCTCTGGAATATCGTGTAAGAGAAAGTTACTATCTACGTGGGTAACCCGTACAGCAGCAGGAGTGGCAGAGTAGTAGGCGGACTCACTGTTCGCTCTGCTCTCTGCTCTGCTGCCCCTGTGTTAGGGTGCTCTTCTTGTCTTCGTCCAACGAAAAAATGCCGATCGATCATCATCATGCGGACCAGGCGGAAACCTGCGGGCTCTCTTCCACCTCCTGTAAGACCCGGTCGCGCCGGTGGCCTGAGTATCCATCTCGTGGGTAACCTTTACCCCGGCTATTAGCGGCAGGTGGTTGGTTCGAATAACTCGGGGCGGTGAACAAATTGCGATAAATTCCGTGGTGGAAAGTAGATTGCACTGCTGAAGCAGGGCTACCTCCAATCCTCCCCCACTCATTTTTCTCGTTGTCGCCGCGGTTGGTTGTTGTTTGCGTGTCGCGGTGTGCTTGTATGTGTGAATGTATGCATGTATATATGACCTTTTGACGACGACGAGACAAGATGACGACGACGGACGGCATAGTATTACGAACGGATCTTATAGAAGGAAACAATACTTCGTACTACTTCAATAGACTATTATACCGTAAGGATGCGACGAGAGAACGCACGGTTCGTTCGGTGATATCGCACGCACGCGTGCCTATAATGATATCGCTCCCACCCCTTCGTCTCTTGGCAACGACGTTGTAAAACAATCCGCCGCCCCCGCCGGTGTTTGCCATCGGGGTTGGGTTTTCGTCGCTTGGCAACGACGTTGTAAAACAATCCGCCGCCCCCCGCGGTGTTTGCCATCGGTGTTGGGTTTTCGTCGCTTGGCAACGACGTTGTAAAACAAGCC